GACTTACAGGTGAAAACTGACATGTTGGCAGAAGAGGTAGGCAGTGAAGAGAGGACTGCAATTGAACATAGAGAAGACAGAGACGATGAAGGTAACTAACCAGCAAAAACAACAACAAGCACCAATCACTATCAATGCGAAAAATTTGAACGAGGTCACTTGCTTCACTCATCTGGGCAGTATCCTTTAAACTAAAGCTGACAGCATGGATGAGGATGTCGGAAACAGAATCGGAAAGGCAAGACAGACCTTCATCTCTCTGAAATTAGTGTGGAGATCAGCCAGACTCTACTAGCATAGGAAAGAATATTCGGGATTCTAACACCAATGTTAAGTCAGTTATTTCTTCTCTATGGGTCAGAAATTTCCGATGACTCCTCACATACGTCAACAAAAGAGTTTCAAAAAAGCTATTGCAGACTTTTGTCAACAGCTGTCCACTTTGCCTGTTTCGTACTGAAGATAAGGTAGCCGGTCAGAAAGGATCAGGAACACGAAACTCTGAGAAAGAACCAATCAACATCCTATCGCTCAACAAATAAGTGGAAGCAAATGGAGATGGATGCATCGGATAGATACTGGAGAGACTGTCCTGTGACATCGTGCTGGAGGCCATCGTATGAATGGAACGCCAAAGAAAGGAGAAGGATTGAGTGTGAGTCCCTGGGTGACATGCTGGAGGTTGTTTAGGGAGATGAGAGTTTATGGAGAATCGTGGGGCCAGCTAAAGAGGACTGCAAATAATACAACAAAGTGGAGACGTCCTACTGAAGTCCTGTGATACATTTGGAAGCAAACTTAGTAATTATAATACTACTGACAAAACTTGAAAAGCTATTTTTACATCACTTGTATACCTGTATTGTTATGTCTTATCTCCTTCAGAGATTTTTATTAAGATAAGGTGATAGATGGTGAGGCTTATTTTATGGTTAGCAGTGTCACTGAAAGGTTACGTTGTTCTCTTTGAAAAGTAGTTATCTCATTGATATAAGAATAAAACTTGGGCACTGTGGTAGAGTATAACTCCATTTTGGATAAGATTTTATTTTGATGAAGTCACACAGGGTTTACAGTAATATTTACTGATGATGGCGTTCCGAGCACAGTTTATTGTTCATAATCATATCAAGGTGCTCACACAACTTTCTTGCTTCGTTTATATACATGAGTAAAAACTGATTAGACATTTGAATAAAATCAGTGTAAGACTTGCGTGAAACAGAAAGGAAGATAAAGTATATTCGGAACCACTATTAGAGTTATCAATATATACAATATGACAATTAAGACGAGTGTTGTTAGTCAAGGAGATGGAAAATAAGATATTTTATGTTTGTTTTTGTTTTTATAACTTGTAAGAATCTTATAATGTGAAGTGAATACATTTTAACATCATTTGTTGTCCTCTGATTTGATTGGTAATAACATTTACCATACCTCTGGTATTTGCATTGAGAAATTTCTGTTTCATGTGCTGGATGTAGACCCAATGAACCAGGCAGGATTCAGTAATCAATCTCTCTAGCTCTCCAACAACCTGTATTACTTTTCAGAGTTTCGACTCTGTCCCACCCTATTGTGTGGTTGTGTGTTGATGCATGCAGTGCACTTGCTGAGCTTTTTTCTAAATTACTCATCTTCATAGGATCAATCATTCGAGTCTTAGTTAGATTCTTATGTTCTAATAATCTCACTACTCCTGATTTACTAGTTTGGCCTATGTAGTTGACCTCACAGTTACTGTAATATAATTTACAAAATACCTTGCAATAATAAAATAAAATTTTATCCATAATGAAGATATCTCAGTGATATAAGACGTCTCATTATTAAACACCAGCATTGAGATCGAAACCTGATACCTATGATTTACAATTAAAACCACTGAATGTTAAAAACCAACTTCTATGCTGCCTATGTCAAAGTTTCAGCTACAGCTTACAGCTTGAAGACACTAAGACTGCAGTATGTATTACTGATACCATCTAAAGAGCGCGTATTTACTGCTACTAAATAAATACTAATCCTATTTCGGTAACAACGATAAGCGCTTGTATTCTGAAAATAGTCACTGCCAAAGCTAAATGATTTAATTGTAAAGGTATGTCGTGAATTAATCGATTTCTAGTGGAAAATAGAACTTCAACAGCATATCTCACGTTTTTTTCTGTTCCCTGCAGTCATCTTTAGCTGCTCCTACGATTGCCCATCAGCTTTCATCCCCTCCACACACACGTCTCCTCTATATCACCCCCCCTAACTCATCGTTTCCTATTCGGGTTCCACTCGAGCAACGGCCTGGCTCACGACGTCACTTGACAGTCTCCTCAGCGTGTATACGACCCATCTCCATTCTCTTCTCCCTATCTGGTGAACAACGGGTTGACTTGTTCTCAGAGTTTCTTGTTCCTAATTCTTTCTAGTTGGTCATCTTATCTTCAACATTGAACCAGCAAAGGCAGCTCTTGATAAAAGCCTGAATTCTGTTTGAAATGCTTTTCATGACAATCGCGCCAAGTTTTTAACTCATGTACGAGAACTGACTCACTTGACATTGGTGTTGTAAACCCTATTTTTTCTTTATGCTGACCTAGTGCACATGATTTCCAAAGTGATATCAGGATGATGAAGGACTGTCTTGCCTTTTCGATCCCGGTTTTGAAATCCTCATCCGTGCTGTCACCTTTAATCAAGTAAAGGAAGTGACCTCTTTCAAATTTCTTGTGTTGTTATTGGTTGGTGCTAATCGTTGTTCTTCCTGGCTGTTTATCTTCATCACCTCCATCTTCTCTATGCTCGCTTGAAGTCCTGTCTTCACTGTCTACCTGTTCTGCAGACTTGTTGGTTCTCACTTGTAATAGGAATTCATCATGATCTGATATTAGTTAGAGAACCATTGGAAAAGCTGAGAGTACTGGACAGCAGTTTCGTCATAGTTTGGGAGTCTTCATCAGTACACTTCGAATCCCTGTGGCTGCACACTGATGAAGAGTCCCTAACTAGGACGAAACAGCTGTCCAGTACTCCCAGGTTTTCCAATGGTTCTCCAACTAATGTCAGCTCATGATGAATTCCTAAAACCAATCAAACCCCTATAAACGAACACTTGAATTTCACTTGTAAGTTGAGGATAAACACCAAACATAGATCCTTTGATGTTCATCCTTATTTAGCAGCTGTTAAAACCGCTAAATTCAAGGAAGATTAATTCTAGGATAAATGACTTCTATTATTTAAAAAAAGGTGAAACTGCAATAATAATCACAATAATCAAAAAGTTTATCTAATTATCTTCTGCTTTGCCAACTTCGCGCCGAAATACCTGTTTAAAAAAATAAAAGTATTTTAATCACAAAAGATAAACACCTGCTTCCAATCATCTGGTTCTTTTTATTTGTTTTAATCTGTATATTGCGCGAAAAACCAAAACATCAAAAGTGTTAAACAGATTTGATATTCTATCCAACATGCAACTGGTTATGTTTCTTTTTTTTGTGTGTGTACAAGTATGTGCTTTATTCAAATCAAGTTTTGTAAATACTTTGATAAATTTTTTTCTTGCAGTAACTATAAAAAGCTGTAATTTTAATTAAAAGCAAATTAAAAATTAAAATTGGATAAATTATAATTATATTTCAATGGTTTACACACAATGATAATATTTCAAGCAAAATTACCTGCCTGTGATCACGCTTTGATTATTGCTCAACTCATCCACTCACGGTAAAACAAGGATTACTACGAGGTCTTGCAGATAAAATACGTAGACTTACAACGAGCGAAAAGAAATAAAAGTTCTGTTCAAAATGGTTTTTTTATTATAGCTTGATTCCATACTGTATTTTTGATTAAAGTATGGAATTTTCAGCATATGGTATCGGTAACCAAATTCTGCAAGCCGACTATAGATATCTGGTGTGCGTCGGCAGGCGATTGAACCCCGGACATGTGCATGGTAGACGAGAGTCCTAACCGATGTGCTACCGACAACAACTACACCAAAGAATTTATCAGAGGTAATATAAAAAAGAGGGTAAAACCAGAGAATGACAAGAAGGAGGAAGGCAAAAATACGAAACAACAATCACAATACTATAAAAAAATGGTACATCAGAAGCAATTTGAAGAAACCTCAAAACATACTGGGATTCGCACCCGGTTTGAACCGACGAATCTAATTAAAAATTAGCTAAATTAATTGAAAGATCCAACAAAAATGATGGATAAAAACAATCTAATTTACAAAATATCTTGTGCCGGATGTCCGACTTAATATGTGGGTCAAACATCCAGATCAATCAAAATAAGAGTGAATGAACATAAACGCCTAACTAAAGGTCAACCAACAGGAACACAAGCTTACAATAATTTAGAAAAAAATCGTCTATAGCTGCACATGCATGGGACAAAACCACAAATTGACTGGAACAATATTTGTATTTTGAAAACTAATCTGAACAAATGGAAAGAGATACTTATAAGGTCACACCGGATACATGTAACAAGGGTGACTCAGCAGCACAACCGTCAACAACCTGGAATGTAATTCTAAATATTCAAGAGTTTGGTTTGTAAGGATTAGATTTGTTTATACGAGTTTGACCATGGATTGATATCAGTTAGAGAACCATTGGAAACCAGCACTAGAGTACTGGACAGCTGTTTCATCCTATTTTGGGAATCATCGGCAGTACGCACCCACTGCCAGGGTTTGAACCCAGGACCTTCCGGTTTCCAGTGAGGTCCATCCGACTAAGTGTGAGGTTGGAGTTCCCACTGATGACATTGGTTGGTAGTCGCGCTAAATCACGAATTGGTAGAAGTTAGAATTCATGGGCTAGCCAGTGAATTGGGACCCAGTGGCTGACGGGTGTTCGAGCTTGCCTTGTAAACCATTGAAATATAATTATTCTTTATTTGATCTATTCCACAATGCTCAAACTTTTTACTACATATTAAAATTAATTTAAATTTTCTTCCGTTTATTTTTTATACAGAAACATATCTTAGCCTTAGAAAACTTGCTCAAAGAAATGGGAGTTTCACATGATGCAATACGCAAATGTAAACCCTTGTGTAAGTACACTCGTTTCTTTTTATATTTCAAATGCTTATTTTATATTGAAGTTTGTACAGTATTCAAAAGTGTCAGGATTGTCAAAATGCTACATAGGATCAATTTCAATATTTAGTAATGGTAATAACAAATTCACTTATTTAAAATGTAGTTTATGCTGCTGTTTACTTAAAAACGATGGTCAGTAACTGTCTGCACTTGTTCGTAATGTCCCCCTAGAATCAGTTCAAGGAATTCAATGAATTGATTAGAAATCTACGTTGAAAGGGATGGTATTTAGTTCCCGACATAATGAATGTACCTGTGTATATTTTATCCTTCGAAATAGTTACTTTCACATCCATAATATTTGTAAACAACAGTTTTTCTACTTCTAAGTACTCTATATGTCATCAGAATAACAAAAATGAGTTCACAATTTTATCCGATGACCAGCGTGTTATATCTGTGACAATACTGGATATACGTTCTACCCTAAAGTTGCTTCAACATGCGACAGAATACAAGTGACCACTTGAATATTATTCTCAAACTGAAAAAGACACCGAAGACTAACTGAAAAAGCAATTTGAGTAGAAATTACGGCTAATTATGCAGTTACATTTGAGAATTCGTCACGTACCCGAATCAGTTAGAGGTAACTGAAAACTTGAGAGTACTGTAAAGCTGCTTCTTTCTAGTTTGGAACCCTTCAGAAGTGCACAGCCATGACCTTACTAGAGGTCGAATGCGAGACACTCAGTTTAAGAGACCAAGATGGTTGACCATTAAGTTAGTTCATATGGTTAACAAATTACTAGTTTCAGATAAAAAATCTGTGTTTTGACAGACTAGCATAAATTTTCATTATTCCCTTGAATTCCGAGTGGAACATAGGGCTTCAACAGCATAAATCCACCTTATCCTGTTTTCTCCACACATGATTTCATCCACGTTACACTTGGACCAACGTCCAGTTCGTCGTTTTGCACTCACCTTCCACTTGAGCGATGGCTTGGCGCGCGATTTAATTTGACGGTCTCAGAGTGTGTCTGACTCATCCTTATTTCCTGCGGAATATTTGTGGAGTAATGGGTTCTTGATCGGCTCCTTTTAAGAGTTCCTTGTTGTTTGTCCTTCCTGGCCGGTCGTCTGATCTCCAATATGGAGGCATGGAAGTGGATAGCTGTTGGTAAAAATCTGAAATCTGTTGGAAATGCATTTAGTGACTCTGGCTTCACTTTCCTGACCCACGTCGTAGAATTGGGTTAACAGTGGTGCTGAAAATCTGTATCTTGTTCTCTATGCTGATTGAGTGCGGCTGATTTTAACACTAATTTCAGAGTGACGAAGGTGTTTTGATATCATCATCCATGCTATCGCCTGTAGCTGAAACGATGCTGCCTCACTAGTTAGCATATGCTGAAGTAACCTGTAATATATATATATATTAAGGTCAGATGCCTGATTTACAGATCACATGGAAAATGCTGACTCATCATTTGTCTCATGTCGTCATGGCAGAGATCCATTCGGACCCCACCCTTTTATCACTAAAGAAACCTCAAAATATCAGGTGGCACTCAATAGTTATTTTATTCTAGTGTTCTATGGACCAGAAGTGTGCACTCACTATGCTTCAAAATTAAAAGCGCATTTATCCGCTGAATCCAACGAAAACTGGGGCAGTTTATGTTTTCATTTGTGCGTCGGTGGTATAGCGGTTAGGACACTCGCCGACCATGCACATGGTCCAGGGCTCGATCCCCGGCCAACGCACTCCTTTACCTCGTTGAGCCAGAAATAATGCTGGTGAAGAGGAAAGGTTGGGCATGAGGCTAGCAACCCCATCCTGTAAAATAAACACTGCTACAGAAACTTCAAGCCATTAGCTAGAAGCCCTATGTTCCACTGGGGAACGTGAAGGAAAAAAAAATGTTTTCATTTGTCTGTCAGCTTGTGTCGAAATGGCAATATCATTCAGTGAGTTACATATGATTATGTGCCTACACACCCAACTCGATGAATTCAGTGAGTCAAGAGTTCGTGTAGAAGCTTCTAGGAACTAATTATTATTATTATTACATTTATCCCACAATAAACACATTATTCAATCCTAATACTACCACAATTTGAAAAAACTCAGAAACCAAGAAACTACAAGTAACAGTACTAATTAGTTTTTAATCGTCTCCAGGTTAACACTGATTCTTAATTAAACCAATAAACAGCTTAAATTATAAAACTTTAGAACAGTCTATTAGTTATATCTGATTAACCATAGACTAAGTGTATTCAGGAAACGTCTATTACATCTATATCCTCTTAAAAATTACATCAGATATTGTTGTACAAATTACAATGACATTAGTAACACAAATTATGCCCATGATACTATCTCTAAAATGTAAACATTAATGAATTCTAAGTGCTATACATTGCGAAATTTCATTATCGATATAACATTCGTATATACTTCCTGTTTCTGACAATGTTTTGTAGATGTAAATATATATATGCAGCTATAGATACCTTGTCACTTGATAAAGTCGGTCATCAATTAGTTGTGAAAGCATTCTTTGCCTTTTCACTGTTGACAAAGTCTTCCGGACTTAGAAACAACTTGAGTTAGGCTGCAGAATGTTGTGGAGATGCAGATAAATGCATTCCAGGGAGAAAAGTGACAACAGAAGGAGTTATTGTATGCACAATTTGATTGCCTGAGATAATTCTTTCAAACATATATACAATTATTTTTTTTCAGAAATTAAAGATACCGTTGTGTTGCAGACTAATAGAGTTTAACTTTAACAAGTGGTGTTTACATAATATACTTGCGTTTCATTCCATATTAATTTGTTCATTAGATAAGTCATATAGTACAATAGAATTATTCGACGGATGTCGTTTCCAAAAACATTTATGCTCATATTCACATCCATTACAACTACATAACTTCGAAACTTTCGTTTGATAGTCTTCCTTATTCTTTCCTACTCGTCGTAGGGGTAGTAGAATTCCCACATGTCCAGGACAGGTGTTCAATCATTTCTATTGTACGTATTCTCAGTTGGCTCGATAAATAAAGCTTCCGTTATCAATCTACGTCTCCACCCTGTTATATTAAACTTCATTGCTATCGCCTTATCCCTTCCTATATTATGGTTGTGTGTGGGTGCATGTAATAGCGCTATACCCGGACTATTCTCCAGATTTCTTATATTATTCGGGTCAACTAATCTAAAGTTTGAAAGGTTTTTATGCTTCATTTGTCGAACTGACACCGTTCTACTACTTTGACGAATGTATATGATCTGAAAATTATTCCAGAGTATTAGATAATGGGCTATAAAGGATCCTTTGACCGACAAAGTTTCCTTCTACGTGAGTATGTGAATTTCAATGCCAGCCACTTTTATTCTTGCATTGTTAAGAATTCTATGCAAGGTTTCGAAGGTTCTTTCTCTGTATGGAAGTACTACTGACGGTTTAAACCTCTCACTGTTGGTGTCGTCATCATTCTGTTCATGTTTGTCATGCATGTAGTCATTATTATTGACAACTATAATAATAACAATAACTGCATACAACCATCGGTCGGTCGGTCGGCTTCGTGTGCTTTCGGAAGTGTGTGGGCGGTTGTTACTTCCCGGCTGCCCACACCGTGGAAGTTGGTTGAGTCTTCGGGTACCTGAAATAGAGAAAAGGTTAGTGTTGCATGACCGCAGAGCCCAGGGGACAACTGCTTGAGGCCGGTCACACGCGGCCTGTTTTTGTTTGTTCTTTTTCATTTGGTGTGTCTCAGTGGCATATTTATCACTTCTGCCCTGTGACACGGCAGCAGGAAGCGCGGTCGTTGTTAATCCGGGCCCCGACCTATCCGGCATGATATTTTGTGAATCTGTTTGAATCATAGTGTAGGATTGGGTAGCTGCTTTTTGTCTAATCGCTATCCAAACAACCTTTCTGGCATGGTAGGACCTACAGGAACATAAGTTCCAGCCAGTGTAGCTCGTTGGGTCATTGCGATATGCAAGCCCGACCACCACGTCAAGGTAGCAGCTGTCGGCCGAGACATACAAACACACTATAGGATGCGGTAAGGTGGCAATAATAAAATTTATATTCACAGGGTGGAAGGAGAGATTGATAAAGGAAACTTCATTTATCGAATCAGTTGAGAATACGTACATTAGAAATGATTCAACACCAGTCTAACTAGACATTTCGGAAAACTATACTACTCCTACGACGAATAAGAAACATCATCAGTAAATAATGCTGCATAACACTTTGAGACTTTATCAAATAAATTTGCTCTTTGACGGGAGCATCTTCCACACACTTTTGGTAATTGTTACCAACAACTCTAATTAATGTAGAAATGATGCTGGCTTTACACAGACCATCTTTTGACAAAAGTTGATTATCCACAGATCAGAGCAAAGTGATAACATTTACCGCACTCGAATAATAAATTGCGTAGAATACTATATTCATTACAATGAATTACGCATTTGGCAGACTTATGAGAAATTTCTGTTACTTCAAATATATTTGTGTGATGAATTATAAGGCAATTTTCTTGAATATTCTGCCCTAAGTATTTCATCACATTTTCATTTGAAAGATAATTTAGTAATCTTCATCTAAGCTAAAATAGGCCCTCAATGAATTAAAACACTTGATAAGAGTTGCAAATTAATGAAGACAAATAATCGCAAGCGATGACATTGGCTAGTGTTCCTGGCATATCGTGAATTGGCAGAAGTTGGAATTCAAGGACTGGACATTGGATTGAGTCCTAATGGCTTAATGGTCTACGAGCTCTTTGGCCTTGTGACCATAAGGTCCTGGGTTCGAACCGTGGCAGTGGATGCGTACTGTGAAGAGTCCAAAACTGGGACGAAACAGCTGTTCAGTACTACGAGGTTTCCCAGTGGTCCTCTAACTGATGTCAGCTCATGATAAAATCCTGTAACCAACAAAATTTTTGTTAATTAATCTTGTTTTACTTTCCATTGAAGTGTAACTTCCTTCGGCATAGAAGAGTTAGTTTTAACTTTTAAAATTGTTTTTAGATAAAAAATGTACAAAAGAACAAACAAACAATGCTTTGAAATCGATTGCAGCTTTAACAACAGGATTTATGGGTGGTCTTGTCGGTGCGCCATCACATGTACAAGGTGTTATATCAAGATATAGTAAAAGTAAATTTTCTAGTACACAAAATTTTGCACAATCAACATTTTCACAGGTTAGTTAAACTTTATTTTCTTTTTTCTTTTTGTCTGCGATATGTTATACCATATATCCATTATGTTATATCGATGCTATCAATGGTCTCAAGGCATCCAGGTCATTCCGGAATACCTTTGTCGAAACTGTAGTACACTCATAATCCAATGTATTTTATTGGTTCGAAACCGTGTCAGGTGATTATTTGTAACTTGAATGAAATAATCTTTGGTTTAATTAACCGTATCTTCGATGAAAGCAAGTATGAGCATGGAGACACAGAATGTCCTCACGGTATTCGAAACTGTGAAGGCTGTTTAGAATATAGAAGAAATGAAAAGATAGTTCAGAATTGCTTGGAATCTGTGAGACCAGATACGATGAAAACTGACTATCTAAATTATTAACTCCAGAGTCAATAATCTGCCCCAGCAATCCAGAACACACTGAGAGAGTTGTCACCATGATTTTTTCAACAACACAGAAAGCTCTTATTGTAGTAGAAACCGATATTCCTCAAGGATAATGACGAAAAGATTGAGCTCAGTAGTAAGAAAAGCTACAATTATTCTGTACTTTGCTCATAAAAACTATAAAGACCAAAATAAGAAGAAAGGTTTCTACAGACAACTGCAAACCGTACTGTACAAGACCAAAGTCAGACAGCAACATCAAAACTCTAATGTGTCATGTCAAACTGGAAGAACAGGAGGAGAGCTCATCGTGTGTCAGAAGGCTGTCGACAATATAAACGGAACTTCTGTGCCTTCGATATTTTGGAGATTTGACGAAGCATGCCCAAACAAATAAATATACACAAAGCTACATGAGTTTCACCAGACAGAAATCATCTCAGTTTCAAGAAAGTGGAAATGCAGCCTGCTGGAGCAGATGTGGGCTCAGACGATTATCTAGTGCAAGGAACTCTCAAAGTCCAGCTGCAAGCCTTCAAAGCAACTGAAAATGGACCCCAATTCAGTTTCAACACTCAGTAACAGAAGGATACATTCACACTGAAGTCATTAGGGCTGAGTCAAAGACATTATTGTTATGACGTTACCACTTTTATATTTGCAATACGTTGAGGTGAACAGGGAGGCTGAGTCGGACAAAGACTCAGTGGTCACACATTATACATCGCCGTATACAACAGCTACCTGATCTCTTGCCTCCTCCAACTTAAGTGTGGACACAATGATGTGAGACGAAAAAGTATACGTATCACTTTCCGAATGCGTATAAGCATATTTACAAAAATAAAACGATGATATAAATATGTATAAGCATGCCTAATGAAGACGACGTAAGAGATGTGCATAAAAGGATGCATGCTTGTATGATTTATATCCAGAGTGACCTTGACCACCGTATAACCATAAAACAATAATTCAATTCTTTATCTTTCTTCATATCAATTAGATGGCATCACAAAGAAAACCTGAATAGCGGAGATTTGGAAATCTCTGGAAAAGATTTTAGAGAAAAATTCTATGGACGTCTTATGAAAGAAGAAGAGGGAAGACAAGCAGTAACTCTCTATGTAGGATAGAAGGATTGTGAAACGGAGAATTAAACAGTACAAAGATGAGTAGAATCCACAGCGTACTGAACAAAAGAGTGGACAAAGGCACTTTCGCCGTTCACTGGTTACTGAAGTAGAACAAGTGAGAGGGTGACAGGGTGGGTGATAGGGATCTCATAATAATGTATCAGATGATCAGGTCGCTTTTCATGAAGAGATCAATGCAAGCGAAAACAACAGAGGGTGAAGAAAACCTAATTACCAAACAGGTGGAAGAGAGGAAACGCCATGCTGGTTATTTCAAAGGGCTCTACGATCGATCATCAACCATAACTCGTCGAGGACATGGCGTACACATCACCAAAAGCATTTTCAACAGCCTACACCACAACCTTTATCGGTAGCCGCCTTCATCCCATATCAAAGCCCGGGTTCCCAGAAGAAATATTCAATGAGGAGCCAACCAAGAATCAATTGCCCAGTAGAGATACAGAAGGAAATGCACTGAGATGACCATCAAGTGACACCGGTCATCCTAGAGTGACGTGAAGGAGATCGTATGAGGAGGGAATAAGAGCTTACAGGCAATCAATCAGTCAGACAGCTCAAAAGGACTGCAAAGAGTAGGGGAGAATATTGGATATCAGAACCTAAGAGAAAAATTATATGGTAACAATAATTTTGTGGAAATGAACAATTCCAGAGCTTTACAAATTACAGAGAACTGCATAACCTAAAACAAATATTCATCGGAAATATTATAACTTCGAATGTTCAAATCGACACGTTATTCCATGAAGAGAAATACCTATTTCAATGATAACGACCTGTATTAAACTTCGTAAACTATATGTGAATTTACTCATGGTGTAAAAAGGAATACAATATGAACGGACATACTTTAAGTAATCTGAGTAAAAGGAAGAACAGTGACGAGATAAGGGAAAAGGGAAATTTCTTTTCTTTCGCTGAAGTGATTTGCTCTTTAAATATCAATAGTAGTCTCATTGGTACAATAAACCGTCGACAAGTACTCTTTAAATACTATTTTTGAACACTGCAGAAGCAGCTGAATCAGGAGGACAGTAACACTGGTAGAGCTCAATTATTTGCATTTCAGTGTAACACTGTCTCAGTGATGCCAAGGACATCTCTACAAAGATGCTATTAACGGATAAGAAAGCAAAACGCCTCAGTTTTAAACACAAATTGATATCATTTAGAGAATTACTGAAAACTGGGGAGTGGCAACCAGCTGTTTCTTCCTAGTTTAGGACTCTTCAGCAGTAAGCTCACTAGTAACTGGCTACAGGACGAAGTTGACTGGAGTCCTAGTGAGAAGTCGTGACCAGTGGAGTTCACACGGTTGGCAGTGACGACAAATACTAGCCACGGACAGCATAGGCTGATGGTCGCGCCAGATTCAGGAATTGGTAGAAGTAAGAATTCATGGGCCAGTTAGCTGTGTTTCAGTGGCTGAATGGTCCTTATAACTGGAAGGTCCTGGGTTCGTATTGCCAGTAACGAATATCCAATACTTCCTGATTTTCAATGGTTCTGTAACTTAGTGCTCTTGATCTCTTTGTAAGACTCATCATCTTGATGGTTTAATACAATTTTAATGCATCTCCTGCAAAAAGGTTGTGCTGTTGATTCACTTCTTTCACAGAAAATTTTAGTATTTCTGTTTAATATGTTGTGAAAAATATGGAAACTTAACTTCATTGACTTGTATTCATATGTATAAATGCTAAATAGTAGATATACTACATAAAATAAATATAGTAATATCAAAGTTTATAATGAGTGGTAATGCCTAAAGTCATTCCTCTAGGAATCACAGGTTAGGAGCTCTTTCTAAGTACCTGTTCATTCAGCAGGTGGATGTTTATCAGTCTTCATATGTTATGCACACATCCGTGTACTCCAGTACTAATGTAGACTACATACGAGTTGAAAACAGTCGAATTCTTCAGTCAAATATATCAAATCTTATATAGACGGTTCCCTTTAATAGCTTAAATAAAGAAAGAACCGCCATATATGCAGAATAACACGATCTCGTTATATTTCATGGATTCCCTTCAGTTGCGTATATCCTAAACAAATCAGTTATATGTTACAAAATTCTTGAACGTACTTATCACAATGATTTCAAGTTATGGATATAGAGTATAAGCGAAATAATTTCAAAGATGATGTAAGTAGACAATTAATCAGTTTTAAGAGAGAGTAAGCGGTGCTTCAGTGGCGCAGAGGAAGAGTGCTTGCCAGCCACTCAGGTGATCCGACGTTCGATCGCCGGCCGATGCACTACTAAGCCTCGCTTTGCCGGTAATAAGCCTAGCAAAGAGGGAAGATTGGGTGTGTACTAGCAACCACACCCTGTAAAAATGAAATCACTGCTACCGAAACTTCAAAGCTGTAGCTAGAAGCCCTATGTTCCACTGGGAACACATAGGAATAAAAACCAAAAAAGATAGCAGGCATTTTGATGTGGTTGTGTTCTTTGAGCTGGATAGTTAATTTGTGAAGCCTTCATCACCCTACTAGGTGACATCTTCAGCGCATACCTCAATTTTAAGTCAGGCATTTATACAGTAATTAGACAAGGGAGTAGATTTCAGATCCATCTTGGAAACAAGGATGGACTGGAAGACAAAATACAAGATAGAACAACAGAGTTAATTATATACATATCATGGTGAAGAGTTCAGGAGAGTAGGGGCGAATAGTGAATACTGAATTAAAACTACAATATATGAAAGATAATTTGGTAGATTCGGAAACTTAATAGTAAGTCCAACTCAGTAAGTAAGAATTAAAAAAAATCAAAATTGAGTGAAATATTATGTAACAGAGCAAAACACAAAAGCATACAAACAAAACAATTAAAGTTACCAGAATATTGAGAGATAAGCCATACCACCTTCCTGTATACATTGGTTGGGTCGAAGTCTTTTGACGGTGATGGCTTCTGTGATGTGAAACAACTATGCTTTTCTTTATATATTGATTATTTTGAAAACCTGACTGACAGTGTCTGACAGTCGCATTTGAGAACACTTTGCCGCCTTTGAAACGGGGACTTCTAGGGATGCGCTCCACGAATCTAGTAAACCCTCTCCTCTCAATCCTTCCTGCGTACTTACTGCCTCAAGTACAGGTGAATTGGTAAATGCAGTTGGAGCTGACATTATATTTTATGTGAATTTTTAAGACAATCTCCTTCAGTATATAGATATGTATAAATATATATATATTAATGCCTACAAGACCTTGAAACTTAACGCATTTACTTTTCCACTATTTCTTATAGTCTGAATCCCTCAGTGTTTTATCTAAATATCAACGTGAATCAGTGCCAAGATTAGTACATATTCAAGTTCCTGGTAGTAAATGTTTAAAAGATCATCAAATATGCAATAATTATGGTACAAATTATCCCTTCAATGAAAGTGATCAGGTAACACATGAAATTAAAAATTATCGTTCAGCACAATCAACCTGTGAAGACAGTGTAGCATTTGATGAATTATTAAAAAGGCCACGTGCATTAAGTTTAAATCCCCAAGAACATTGGAGTTCACTTCAGGATAAACAATTTCGTTCTTTATTATTACAAAGTGAATCGACAACAAAATTAACAAAAAGTTCAAATACTCTAAAATATCCTAATGATGATGATGCTATGATGTGTGATAAAACAGAAAAGTAAGTCAAAAAAACAGTGTCTTCATACATTTATTCCCCTTAATGAATTTGAATAAAGCAAGAACAATAGTGGTTTGTGTAGAATAAGGCGGTACCAATCACTAATTTCATTGGCCTGTCATCAGCTGCGTACAGCCTGCTAATCTTACATGTTGTCAGTTGACAGGAGGTGCCAAACTTAATGAAACCTCCGGAGGTAAGATTTGCAAGCTGTATGCAGCTGATGAGAAGCCAACAAAGTAAATGATGGTGCCATCTTATTCTGCAAAAACCACTATCGTTCTTTCTTCATTCAAACAGTGTCTCTTTCATGTGGTTATATGTTTTACTTGGACATCATTATTTTTTACTATGGAACCATTCGTTTTCAAGTTAAGCACTTAACTATTTTCATAAACTGCTTAAAAACGGATAACTGTTTTGGGGGTGAAGTTAAAGTATCGCAGCCCAAATCAAGGTCCGTCAGAATTTCACTTTCGACAACCAAAAACCTTGCTAATTGTGGAGAAATGTATTTAAAAAAACATTACAAACGTAGTATTAGGCTGGATAGTTGCCTCTTATGTGTTGCAAACAATGTTTTGCAGTAAGTCAGAGGATAATCCGTAGAGAAATCACTCCACATGCGATTCGTGTGTTCATATAGGGGGCTGTTGATCTTGGTGCCTTGGGATCAATTAATATTCCTGACTCTGTTCTTGAATCTACTCCTAACTGTAACCTAAGCCCCCACTCTAGCCTCACCCAGCAGCATAGATTTATTCGGCCTTCATGGATCTCATTCACCGAATCAATAACGGAGGCATGATTTGATGTGGAATGACCTTTCATTAGCATTCACTAAATCTGACTGGTTCTTGGTTCGGAAATACACAGCCTTTGGTAGATTTTTGTTTACTTTGTAACTTACTTTGATTGATGAGTCAGTTGAGATTCACTGACAGGTGTTGACGAGGTGTTTACTTGTGGTTGAACCAGTGCTACTCATGCTGGGTCACGTCCTCTCACACCTTTTGAAAAGATGAGCATGGAACGACCTATGTCCAAAGCTACTCATGAGCAGGTGAATTGATATATACATATTAGAGTGATTACATACTGGAGTTTGTGCTTCACACTGCTTAGAAACAGTGGGCGGGTAAAGAATATCACCCTTAGTGTTACTGCATGAAATCTTTTCTTTAGGATTTCTTCCACTGCGTCAAAAACTTGTGCACATGTCTTAAAAAAATATTCTTAACAGACTGCAGACTTACGACAATAACTGCCTTAGCTGGACAGTGAAAATCAAATAGCCAGAAAGGGTCGGCGACGAGCAACTTTGGTAACAAACCACCGAAGAATCTATTGCCTGACAAATATAAGAATGGAAATGGTTATAGATTAAACACACATTGAGGAAACCACTGAATGACACATCATGTGCCAGGCCCTCGAGTGTAGCATGAGTGAAAAACGACAAGTTTTTCGTCCACAAATGACATGGAGGAGTCGAAAGCTTATTGACAATCGTGGAGCAAGCCCAAAAACACTTTAGAGAACAGAAGGAAGTAAAGATATGCAGCTGAATCCCTAAGTATTCACTTGGAACCCAATGGAACAATAATATTAATGCTTTATAACTAAATTCCACAATTATTTAGCATTCTGTATTGTCAGTCAAAATCATTTTGTGAATATTAAGTAACGTTGGAATAATTTCCACTAAATCAAATACAACATTAAAACATGTACACATATCAAACTAATTTTTTTCGGTCTTGAACGACTAAAACGTCAGACTACAAAAAATAGCCCAGATCTAAAATATACCAGACAGCACAAATGCAGAAAATGTCAGTCTGTCAAACAAGTCACAATTATTTTCGTTTGGTTTACCCGTATAACTTTGCTTCTTCAACATCATGTCAAATAGGTTATTTTTTTCCCATCAGTATCCTACTTCCCAAGCTAAAAATTTCATTGCTATCCCCTACTCTATTTTTTCTCCAATAAATAGTGACTTCCAGGGGAAACCTGTTGTAATTATTATCATTATCGCTTCTAACAGATTTTTTACCTCATGTTTATTTCAATAAATCTGTGGAAAGTATCAATTTGATATAAGTATAAAACTTGGACACTGTAGTTGAGTATAACTCCATTATAGATAAGATTTTATTTTGATAAATCACACAGTGTCATACAGTAATATTAACCATGTTTCCAGCACAAACTTTTGCCACTCTTAATCATATCAAGTCACTTATGCAACTTTCTTGCTTCATTTATATACATCAGTAAAATTTGATGATTATACATGTGAATAAAATCAAAATAAGATAAAGTACATTCAGAAATGATATTAGTGTTATCAATCAAATACAATCCAATGGGAAATAAGACAAGTGTTTTCATAGTCAAAAAAAGTAACTTGTTAGAATGTTATAGTGTATGTGAACTGAATACATTTTGACATTATTTATTATTCTCCGACTTGACTGGTAGTAATATCTTCCACATCTCTGGTATTTGCATCGAGTCACTTCTACTGCGCATATGTTGGGTGTAGACTCAATGCACCAGGATTCAGTAATCAATCTCTCTCTCCACCTACCTATATTACTTCTTAGAATTTTAACCCTCTCCCACTCTATTGTGTGGTTGTGTGTTAATGCATGCAGTGAGATTGCTGAGTTTTCTTCTAAATTACTTATCTTCGCGGGATCAATCATTCTAACCTTAGCTAAATTCTTATGTTTTGATAATCTCACTACTCCTGATCTACCAGTTTGATCTATGTAGTTGACTTAACTCACAGTCATTGCAAGGTATTTTGTAAATTATATTATTTTGTTTAATTGGGTCCAGCGAGTCATTTAGTCTACAGAGCTTGTCCTACCTGAGTGAGTTTGTAGGTTTGAATGCCACTCTAATTCCTGCTTTATTAAGAATCCTACGTAGAGTCTCAGATGTCTCTTCTTTATATGGTATAACAGTAGATGACTTATATTCTTTCTTATTTATGTTATCATTATTAGTTTCACAATTATTTTTATTTTGCTTTTGGCCTTTTTCGATCTTCCTAATAAGTTTTGTAGGATACCAACGCCTCTTCTTTCTGTTTTATTTCATCATTTAGGTCTTTTCTGTGCTACTTAGTGCTACTGCACGGTTTGTAAGACACTAAACTAAGCCTGCCTTAACAGATAGATAATGGATGAGATCAATTAAAGTCTAAATATTTATTAGAATGCGTCGGCTTTTTATAAACGCTAGTGTGAAGTTTACCTTCCTCTGTTCGCTTTATTTAACAATATGACATAGCTGATTCTCCTTGTTCATTTTCCGATTCAAATGTGAAGTTTATTCCCTCTACTAGTGAGTTTATATGCGTCAAGAAGCTAAAGAAATGTTCCGCTTTTAACACTGTGAAATTGTCATCCACCTATCTCCACCATATTATGGGAGTAGGATTAAATGTATTAAGAGCACTATTTTCCCAGATGTCCATAAAGATATCTGCTACGGCAGAGGATATTGGTGATCCTATTTGCCCTGGAATTTAAAGACAGTAGATGTGAGGCACAATTGAATTCCTCAAATAATTTCCTCAGCAGGCAGCTTTGTCCTATGACTAAGTTTGGTATTGGCGGATTTATTCTTTCTGAATAAATAAACAAGTAAATATGACTAGACTAAACACTTTAGCAGATATCAAGAAAATGAATTTCTGCTAAATATTTGTCTACTAGACTAAATTAACTGACACACACACTAACACAAAACAAATATCAGTGCAATTAACTAATTAATGACGGGAAAATAATATTCCCATCATCAACAATATTGATTATTTTATGGAATTTTGTGGGAACTTCAAAACATTTGTAAATTTCCCCATTTATACATAAAAAAGTAGTTGGGATAGAGTATTTCAGCAGGAGTTTTCTTTGTTTCTATTCGTTTCATTGAACTAAAATTTGTAAAATGTATGAACAATCGCCCGAAATACCCGTCCATCATCTTCACATCTTACTCATTAGTAGTAGTTGTTGTTGTTGTATTATTTAGTGATTATGATGATAATAAATTCCGATGACTGATAAAATCGTCTAAGCATTCTACTTCTGATGTCTATGGTAAACTAAATTAAAAGGAATGCATATAGATTCACTCTAGTTACCTGTCTGTCTTAATAATAGTAAATATTTACATTTTTTTCCTAGTGTCTAAGTGACTAATTGTCTAACCTGTTGATTGTATATACGAAAAAGATTAAATGTATTCTGCGATGTGCCGATAATTCGATGATACAGCTTTCCCCCAGCCATGCTAGAGAAGGGCGAGTTTGATCCTGAATGACGCACTTAGAAGCAGCCAAGTTTACTACTCAGGAAAAGACGGAAAGTTAGATTTGAGACTGACAACATCACCCCGAAAAAATAGCACCTTTGCTAAAGAAATCCCACAGCTTGAAGCCCCATCTTCTAATATAAAGGTAAGGGAATGATGGAAAATATTCCACGATGTATGCCATTGAAGTGGCATTACTCCTTCATGAAACTCACAGGATGGACACCTTGTTAGAATATATACCTAAGTCTTTTGTATTGTACTATTATTGTTCCCTTGGGTTCCTATTGTAACGTAGAGCTTCAACTGCACGTCTCCACTTGCTTCTGTCTTCTGCTGTACTTTTCACCAGCATCCATATTAATCCATACTGTTTCAACTCCTCTTCACACGATCTCCTCCATGTCACTCTTGGACGTCACACTCGCCGCTTCCCTTTCGAGTTCCACTCAAGCATTGGCCTGACGTGCGATATCACCCAGCGGCCTCCTCAGCGAGTGTCCAATCCATCTCCACTTTCTCCTGCATATTTGTTGGGCGATTGTTTTGTTCTTGTTTTGTTTGTTCCCCTAGTTTCTTGTTGGTGATTCTTTCCGGTGGCCATTTGATCTTCAGTATAGAGCGAAGACAGTTGTTAACAAAGGTCTGCAACAGGCTGTTGGAAA